ACTAGGAAACTAGGTAACTAGGAAAACGCGTGTAATAAATGCGTGCTCATTTCCATGAGGTGTTTATTCCTAGACAGCCGAGATGGAAACCTCGCTCTGTGTAAGCTCGTCAACATGACGTGCCGCCAAAAAATCACGAGATTCTTAGGAAAGAGGGCGGCGAGCGGTTCGTCGGCGGAGGTGGCGCCGCGCGGCGTGTCCCTCGCGAAGCGCGCGCGCGTTCGCCGTTTGGCCCACTTCGCTTCCTATTTCCACCTGCTCGCTGGCCGCGCGCCACCCCCACCGAAACCCACGCCCCGGTCGTATATATAGGGGTAATCTTCCCTGCACGTCCAGGCGGAAGGATTCATTTTGGTACGGTAAGCAGCACATTGCCTGGACGAAGCAATATTGTAACGTCATGGATACTTCACTTAGCAGACCAGCTAGGAGCGTACAGAGCTTTCGATAACAAAACTATACTTTTTATTAAACAAGATTACACTTAAAACCCAATATTACAAATCACATCTTATACATCCTACCTTACATTCCCTATGCTCGAAGAACCTACTATCGCACCTGATCGCGTGAGCGACTCAAATCCCGATTGAAGATGGTTTTGATGCATCAGCGCACTAACCTAGGCTTTCTGAAAGGAGGTCAACACAAAAGCCTAGCTTCCGTGACCGGATGTCTACAGCTTGGTGACACACTCATAAGTCCGTCTTCGTGTGCGCACCGACTGGCTATGGTATTGCCGGGTCGTACGAGCAGGAGACGATCTTATCAGACGTATTGATAGGCAATGCGACCGTGAATCGTGGCAACTACACAAACCACTCGTTCACGCTCGGAGCAACCGCACAGCAAGCATCGCTCCCGCGACGTGATTCCGGCAGTCACGGGCACAAAGGGACCTAAAGTCCGCAGGCTATCCGTGCAATCACTGTGTGACTCGAGCACATTTCGCGAGCGCTGAGATGCGCACAGAGTGCACCGTTCGTGGCGCGGCAAGATTTTTGTGCACACGCACGGATAGGTACTTTCTCACTTTAGCACCTCACCCACCGGTGGGCTCTGTTTATGAAAAAGGGGTGAGGCCGGGCACGTAGACCCTACTACGTCACGGACTTCATTTTTAGCTGTAATAGCAACCGCCCCTCGCTTGGTTATATATAACAGGTAGAAAGTTTCTATAATTAAGTGAATTTAGATGCGGCCGGATACTCCCGAAAGCTTTGTGTCTCCCGTATTGTCCCGCGTTCTTCCCTTCACGAAAACCTCTTCTTGCGCTGATGGCGAGGCTAATGCCTCTGCCAAGCGTCCCCAAATAGATGCCACGAGGCACGCTGGCTAATACGTTACAATATGCAGAGTAGTCCGTCGCCAGCAACGAGTTAGACACACGTGGATAGTGATGGAAAATTAAGAAAAGCGTAGACACATCGATACATCTCCAACAGGTTTTCGATGTTGATGAAAGCATCGACATAAACATCATAGTGTAAAATGTTTTAAGGATGATGAAATATTTCGAAGTAAAATGTGTTGGTTCTAATGTGACACATAACACATGAATAGTATTAAAGTATACACTGCCTAAAATTTGACTGTCATCTTAATTTTTTAATCAATGTTCTACGTAGTCAAGGTTCAAAATGCAGTTTTCCGGTATTGCCACGTACAAAATTATGAAAAAGGTAATAGCACTGGAGAAACTTTGCGATTAAGTAGAAGACGATTTCGTAGCGCCTGGGGATCGACAATGGTTGTTTAGCAATACAGATGGCAAGTTTACATTCAAAAAGGCTTCAACATTCACAATTAATTACTGATTAAGGAACAGCACCGAAGATCCCCTCGTAATATTTCGTTCTGTAGAGTCAAATTGTATTAACTTGAATACTGAATTTGATCGTGGACCAATGAGTTATTTCAAGATTTTTCTGTGAAGAACATATTTTATTAGGTACAAAATCCGTATCTTCAATATTATAGTTGTAGGAAGACGCCAAAAAAAATTGAAAGCTGCAATTTTCGAAAAATCAGACATTTTAACGAACATAAGTCCTGCACCATTCCAATGAACTTAGCTCGATCGAGAGAACCGTGGTTTCGAGGAAAATATGAAACAAGTTCAATGATGCTACTTGTTCTCTAATAGTAAGAATTTTTAAAGGGAATAAAGGGAGTGAAATAATAAAAGACAAACCGATTCGTCATTAAGTAGTTAATTAGTAAATAAACAAATCTGAATCATTAAAATTAGGTAAAAAATAAAATCATGTACGTACCACGGATGTTAACTGGTTCTAAAGTTGTAGGGCCAACAGCCCTCGTTTTTTGTTCCCCCTCGATCGTTACAACCCTTGTAACACCCCAGGTGCATAAATTACTGTAGAACTCTGGTAATCAGAATTAATTAGGTGTGTGGTCTGATACGGAAATGTTCGGTTTATCCGAAAAAAATACCGTACATATTGCAAATACATATATAAGATTACCAGACAATGCTAAGTAGCGTGCGATGTGGGAAAATGGCAACGTCGCGTTGATATCGCATCATCACATCTCATCATCGACCATACTCAGTTCTTTACGGCAAAAGAAGAAAATTGATTTTACATGTTCCGTTAAGTGAAAATCAGTGCTATCTAAGCACGTGATATACGTCGTAGATATGCGCACATACGTCGAATGATATACGCACGTGATAAACTTTTCTTTAAGTAATTAGTTGTTCAGTTCTTCAATAATTATAAAATCCTTTCTTTCCTCTGCAAATAAGCATTTTATTTATTTGGTTTATTTTTCCTCCATCGCGGATTTCGTTCGGATCATCCGAAGTTTCGGATTTGTGGGGCTCGGATTCGCTGCGCTGCACAATGTCCCACTGGAGTGCCAGCGGGAGCAGTCGTAAACGCGGCTCGCTGGACAGCCAGCGGGAGGCGAGACGGAGCCAGGAATAGCCGCTTCGCCCGTTCGCTGTGGCGGTCGAGGCTGCCCCGGCGCCGCCGGCCGGATGTTACGAAAACGCGATGACCACACGCAGATTGCGCTGAACAGCGGAGAATAACAAACGGATCAGCGCTGTTGCCGAGGCTGCTGCCGCCCCTCGCTCTACCAACTTCGCGGACGCGGCATGTGGTCGGAACAGAATGGGCCTCGGGCCCATGTGGCTAATATTTTTTCTTCTTTTTTTCTTGTATCGAAACTGCGAGCTGAGTCATCGTTCCGTCTTGTAAGTTAGGAAGTTCAAGATCCATGTATTTGTCTACAACTCATTCCTTCGTGAGTAATAGAAAGGCAACTTTTAAATCGATCTTTCTTGTACCTTCTTATTACTTTCGAATAATGAGAAATCTCCCTAAAAACGAATGAATAATTTATTGTTCTTTTAGTTAATAATGATATTTAAGTTAAGAAGTTTAAGGTATTTGTTAAAATTTACTTATTCATTCTCACTTCTCGATCTTTATGCTTTTACTTTTTTGACCTTGAATGAGGAATCTCTCTGAAAACTAATGAGTAATTGATTATTCTTGTGATTAATAATGACACAAAAAAATTCGAGAGTTGTAATGTTTTGAATAATACTAAAGAATTGCAACCAAAAGTTTCACTTCGTTTACGGTGCCTAGATAAACGTCTCAGGGACGAATGTAATGACAGTTTTCAAATTCACACTACTCAGGGCGTCTGAAAATATTTTTTTCTGAATGTATTTTGTGTAGAAAAAGCAAACGCTAATGAAAAATTATAATACCAGTTAGTTACTTTTTACTTGTTTGTATCCAGCATGGTCTTTCAATTGCACCTATTTTTACCATCTTTCAAATTCTTTTAAATGCGTAAATAAAAAATGAATGCTAGATATTATTGGAAAGAAAAACTTATATTTTGAGCAAGTACTGTGTCTCAAAATTGCACGACCTTTCTGATTCGATTTAATGACAGCTAAGAATCTAAAGACACATAAATCATTTTAACAATAGCCTGCGTTGTCTCAAGGAAATAAAAAATAAAAATTAAACTTCCTTAAAAAGTAAAGAAAATTGATTTAGTGATTATAGCTTTGATTTGTTAGCTTTTGATTGTTCTGTTGAATTGAATATGTGTGTCACGAAAGGTGGGATGATTGCTAATACAGTTAATGTAGCTTTACTGTGCGCACGTTTTGTTATGCTTTTCTTTTGCTTGTCGGAGTAGGTAGAGCAGTTTGTGTGGGTTTCTATTTTGTTAGCAATACAATAATATTGCGGTCCGCGAAAGTCTCTCCGCGGTGGCACCTTGCTGGTGAGAGGGTTTGCAATAGAAATTATGTTGCCAGTACGAGCTGCAGCTTGAAAACGTAAATTGAGTACTCACTATAATGATAATAGATGCTGGAAATGTCTTCTTGATTTGAGTTTTTCTCCGATGATCTGATTGCTACCAACCTAAATGCAATGTTTAATAGGAGGCTCTGATTCGGCTCGGTGAGGAAAGACTATCTGTCACTGTATCAAACCAGTAGTTTACCATTTAGAACGAAAATTTCTAGTTTTCCAATGTTGCCAACCTCGCTTTGTGGGTACTTTTATTCATATTTCAACATTGTTTAGTAAAGAGCGGTGAAAGGATTGTAGAGCTCAAGAAAACATGCGCAAATTACACTTCTCCACCATACTAATAGTATAATGTTGTTGGCATTTTGTGGTCTCGTGATGACACCAGCACCGTTACCTAAGGAACAGCGGATCAGAAGCTTCGGCCTTTGCACTTGTTGTCTCCTGAAATAAGGAAACAAATTTTACGAGTTAACATATTACAAATGTTAAAAATAAATGTAACAAATGTTACCAACACGTTTGTAATGAGTTTCTCAACATTCCTTTCTTCTGCGAGCCTAGTCAGTGTTGAGATCACGTGGTAGGTCGTGCAGTTCGCGGCAACGCCCTCCACACACAAATGTCAACTTCATTCTATTTTTTCGTACTATAACAATTAACACTAATGATTTTTTGTTCTTGTTGCAGTATTGGTGGAAGAGGATGAGAACCAGGACCAGTTCCAGTTGGAGATGTAGGCCGAGGGCAGGCCGCATTAGCACTTCCCTGGGACAGGCCGTGGATGGGGATGCAACCTGCCACTGCCTCAAGTCATTAAGACTGTTGTGTTTTTACTCTCATTGTCCACTTGCCTCCTTTTGAGAGGTACCAGCATTTGCTGTTGTCTTAAGATTTACAATTTTTGAAACTATTTGTCTGCTGTTTCTGTGTTAGATTGTTGAATCATCTTAAGCAATACAAAAGTAGAGAATATGGACAAGTGAAGTGTTTCTCTGAACTACTTTTGTTTTTGAGACTGTTGTCTCAATAATCTTAGTCATTCTGAAGCAGATTGTTTCATCGGAGTATAGGAATGGTTCGGACAAAATTTGTTCTGGATTTTGGAGGAGTCTCTTAGACAGTTGATTTTGGAGGATTAAGTATTGGTGTGTCATTGGTGCTTTTTTAAGAAAAAAGTACAAAGAAATTGTAAGGCAGGTGTTGGCATCTGAAATATGCCTTCCAGGTTGTTTTATCTAAAACTTGGAACACTTGAAGAAAGAATTTCTTTTTACATTAAGTTTTTTTTAATTGACTGCTTTGTAATAACTATCTAAAGAATAAATTTATTCTTTAGAAAATATTATAGCTGTCTTATTACCTTAATTGTTAATACCTTTCCTCCTTAAATACATACAAAGAGAAAATATTTTTTTTTAGTTCACTAAATATGCTCATTAATTCCATTAAAAATCGTTGATTATTTCCAAGTTAATAGCACATAGTTAATAGCATGCAATTAAAACTCCATGTCTACCAATCAGATTTCAAGAAAGAAGCAAAATAATTTAATTAAGACACTGTAACACATACATAGCAAAGATATTTCCTATCGACCATGAAACATGAAAAAAATATACATCACAGATTACGTATCTACAACAACTATATATAAAGAATGAATAATGAAAACTAAATTGGCAAAGTAAATGTTAAGCTTGCTGACAAATGGAACCACATAAAATATTTAACGTGAATAAATTAATTGTTTACATGTAAAACATTTGGTCTTAGAATTACAAAAGTAAAAATGTAAATATCAGGTGTGCTTACCCATTCTAAGAGTATCCAGAAGTGACGAGTGTTTTTGTTTTTTTTTTACTTGTCAATATTTGTACATCCTGTATTCTCTCTCATACCTTTCTTTACTTCTCGTGGGAAGTAACGTTTTCATGACTTTGTCACCTTTGTCTAATATTTTACCTGCAATATGTTTAGAACCTTCCATATGGAAATATTTCGTGCAAACAAGCAATGCAAGTTCCACTTAAATAGATCTGTTAAGAAGCGATATGTTATCAGATCTAGACCTCAAAATGTAAAGATGTCTTGGATATATCAAAATTTAAATTATTCTGAACTGAAAAGAAAAAAATATTGAATGTAACATGTGTATAAAGGAGAAAAATTGCACTTGTGGTATATATGAGAACTTGCTCCTATCATTGCTTGTTCTCTTCAACATACAAGCAATTATCACCTCTTTTTACACTCTTTTTGTTGATTACTATAAAAATGCATTGAAATTATATCCAACAGTAAATGTATATAGAATTTAATTAATATGAATTAGGATAGAATCGTGTACTTACAATATATACATCATTTTTTCAAATTCAAATAACCTTAGCAGTTGGTGCACCTAGAATCACTAATCGATCTATCAAATTTGTGTTCTGCCTTATTTAACAAAATAAATATCATGAAAATTACAAAATTAAAAAAAGCAATGTTTACAAAACATAGCTCTATAGAACATGATTGCAATATTACAGAAGGCTATTAACAAAAAAAAAAACAACAAAAAAAAACAAGTGAGGCAGCATCTAATTCACTTAATTGCAATAGGTATTACAGCTAAAAACTGAAGTCCTCCACTTTTCAAACAACTTCAAAAATCATGTGAATCTCTGTTCAATTCCTACTCTTCTACTCAATGTCTATTTTGTGCATCATTGTTTCATTACAATTACAACACTGAAGTGATAATGTATCGCAGTCATGAAATGCAGTCAAAAGAACAGATAAAGATGAAAAACAGGAACAAACTTAAGATTAAATAATAAATACCCTATAACGTTTCTTATAGATTTCAGAGTTATTTAATAAAAAATCATTGATATCTACGTGTACATTTTAAATTGGTGAAATAAAATAATTATTTTAGAAAGTTTTTAAAATGTAACTGAATCAAAATGTAAATAATGTAGAATCCTATGCGCTTTTACGCAAATGGCTTCATCTGCAGGCAAGTTTGTTAGATGATATCGTTAATTACGATTTTTACGAGAGATAATTGTACTGTCTAATAATACGTTAATTGTACTTTCAAAAATATAACATGTATACGTCATAATCATTAGACCCAAATTTCGTTACGTTCTGAAAAAAATGGAAATCTATCACTTTTCATTGTATGGGTTTTTATACTGAATCCCGCAAAAGCGAAAAACATTTCCAATATTTGGAGTTATAGCTATGGATTTTTTTTCCCAATATTTGCCCTCTTTTGTTCCGCTTGTTTACTACTCCTTGACCGTGAGAGTAACAAGTGAGTGACACGCACCGTAAGGAAATTGTTGTGGTGCGAAGCGATGCAAAAAGTGCGTCAAAATTAGTTTTGCGTGTACTGTTACTGCGAAGCACTGTCATATATTTTAGAAGTGACACTCTTAGTAACATGTCGATCCTTCCAATTCTACTGCATGATCCTTGCGGGGAGGTGGTCATTCTAAGAACTAATACCGGTTCAATTTGCGATCTGACGCCAGGTTTAGGGTTCGTAAATAACGAACTCAATGAGTTTCTAACACATCCTCTTCTTCCTGCCTATCGCCCTTCACAGCAACAAGACATAAGTAATAGATGTATTCCAAATGAGCGAAATTTCAAGGTATGTTTAATATTGATTACCTCTAAGATTTATTGTCCTTAACATTCGTTTAGCCAAATTACCAGTACGTAAATGTATCTTTTATAGGTAAATCTAGATGTTCAGCAATTCAAACCCGATGACTTAAATGTCAGAGTGATCGACAACTTGGTGGTCGTCGAAGGAAAGCATGGGGAACGCCAGGACGAGCACGGATACATTTCGCGCGAATTCCAACGGAAATACGTGCTTCCGGATGACGTCGATCCAAACACGATATCCTCTCGACTATCGAGTGACGGAGTACTGACGATTGAAGCACGGAGGAAGGTTACAACTGTTATCAACACCTCGTTATTATACAAAATACAACGATTCTCTTATTTCTGTAGATCAGGGGTTCCCAAAGGGGTCAATAACGACCCCCTGGGGTCAATTAAATTTTGGAGGGGCTTAATTATGGTCAAGGAGTCGATTGGGGGTCTATAGCCGAATATTAACCGGCAATTGACAGGTATAGTGGAGATACCATTGATTACAAAAAATATAAACTTAGTAGCTATTATTTTCTCACATAGAGCAAAAAAACATATTATTTTACAAATGCGCTCCTTTTCTTTCCTGTCCGTCGTTTATTCTTAGGATCAGATCGTATCTACGCTGGTGCAACCGATGTACCGCACCGCACGCGCTGACGTTAGCTGCCCTTACTGAGGACCCCCTCGAGCGGCTATCCGCAAAGAATTAAAGAAAGCGCACTCCGGGCTTCGTTTCTCCGTTTCACTATCCATAATCTTATATCAATTGAATTTAAAACAATTTCATGTTTATTGCAGATAGCGAGCCCCATTTCGACTTTCTGTACCGGGGCATCAGAAAATCTCATTACGCAATTCCTTAGAATGTTTAGGACACTCAACAAATTATGACTATATCTTTACAACAAGATTCTGTTGCGGAAGAAAATATTCTCTTCCATGCGCACTGGAGAAACGTGACGGTCAGTTAAAAGCGATCCACATGTAACTATTGCACAACAACGAAGATTAAAAACGCAGCTATCAGAGGTGGAAGAGTCTTCGAATTTTGAAAATCTAGATATTTGTCAAAATATTAGCGTACATAATGGTTATCTACGAGACATTATGTGCAGTTATTTGAGTTATGATTTTATATACTATGTATTATAGAGAATAACGTAAGTGTTTCGATGGAGCAAACAATTCTGCTAAAAGGGATCTATGAAAGAAAAAGGTTGGGAACCTCTGCTGTAGATAAACTAAACCTTTTCAAAAAATCATTTTAAACGGGTCATCATGAATTCTTCGAGTGACAAAACCACACTTGCGCTAAATTCAAATATGAACATTCGTGAATATTATGTTTCTTTAAAATATATTTACACTGCAACATCCTGTGTGAAACAATTTTCTAGAGTAAGGGTATAGAGTATGTGTAGTCAACATAACACTTTCTGTACTTAACGAACTTTGAGATTAGATTTTGAAAGGTTTGCTAATTTGCAAAGTAACACTTAAAAGCAAAAATAATTCAATATAGGTACATTACTGGTTTTTTTAAAACTCTTTAATACATATGTCTTTAGAATGGACTCATTTGTGCAATAAGGAACATTAATACTATTAATTGAATATAGCACGCAAGTGTCAAACATTATTACATAATTTACACAAAGTCGAATCAATAACCTTAACTCACGGTGTTGTTGTTATTAATAATAATAATAATAATAATAATAATAATAATAATAATAATAATAATAATAATATTTGTGATATGAAATTGTTGATCAAATTGTCATGGAATAATTCGTTTGAATAATACATTCGAGGGTCATTTTACATTCATGACATTATACATACACCCGGGGCGACTACATTTCATACATGCAGCAGGAGCGCGAGGTTTGATGCTCTTGCTTCCATCACGCGTGCGCAGAGTGAGGCGGCGGCGCCCGGCGCGCGCGCGGTGGCCATCGTGCACACCAACCTGCCGGCCGCGCGGGGCCGCGTGGGGGAGAGACCTGCGGGGGCGGCCGACGCGCCCTCCGAGGCGCAGGCGCAGGCGGAGGCGGAGGCGGACGCCCAACCCCCGGAGGCCCCCGACGCCCCTGCGGGCCTGCAGGTCTTTAGCGCTGCGAGCACTGATGTCAATATCTCTCTCACACACACACTCTCGCACACACATTTTCGATGACGCGAAAGAAGCATTGTCGGTTCCAGTTGAGAACTCCCCGTGTTTTAAAAATTCTAAAGAAATGGCTGAGGTTGATCCAGTTTCTTCGCAAGAGACATCTCGAAGTTTTACCCGACATCAGGTTTGAATTTGATCTGATGGTTGGCTTTGCTTAAAAACTCTAGGGGCTGATATTGTAACAACTACCTCCGCATTTCTCCAATCCATCGTTCAAGGAAAGTTCCGCTTATAATGAATGGGTGGAAGGTGATCACTTTGTCAATAAACATGAGATCGAATAAATCCGATCGTGTGAAGCCCCGCAGAATTCCTACACGACTCGTCACTTGAGTCTAACTACTTCACGACAAAGAACAGTGCCGGCGCTGGCCTACGCGCACGCGGTCCGCACCCCCCCCCCGGCGCACTGCCTCCGATGCGCACAGCTCGGCTCCTCGAAGAGAAAAGGGCCCGTTGAAGCGTCGCCGCCGCCCAGCTTGGCTGGCCGCGTCTTCCACCCCTTTCTCTGGGTTTTCACGCTATGTCACATACTGACGCCCCCCCTCCTTAACCCAAGTGGTCTACCATACGGCGAGCACATGTCCACTAGGTTTGTGCACGACGCTACACTATTAAGTTACACATGTGATAATTGCGCCTGTTTGTAGGCATCCCTCATGCACTGATGTACCGCGGGTAAACGAATGCTCTTTGCTATAGAACGTGGCCTACCGAACACCAGCGCTTAATGGGTTGCCTAACCATCAGGGGCTAAAGGCTCATCTGGAACTTGATTATAAGGAATTTCCTACTATACGTTCGTTGAGGAAAAGTGTTCGTCTTCGATGCTCTAGATCAGGTCTGCTCAACTCGGTAGCTCTTCAAGCCCCGGCGAGTGGTTCATGAAATTCGCCCGCGAGCTGTCTGGTATCGGGCTGGGGATTATTGTCACACCACGGCATGAAAGCTTCCGAACGTATACAAAATAATGAATACTTCACGCACAATAGCCAACGCGTGTTATCTTTCGCTTTCTGGTCTCCGTAGGTGATAAAAGAAGCAGTGTGCGCCAACATGCAAGACGACGCATGATTGGAAATCAATCGAAAGCAAGAAAATAGGTTTAATGAAATTGAACATTTTGCATGCGCACTGCATCAGATCACATTTGCAATTTGAAATTGCATATTTTCAGATGTTGCGGCCCTAGAAACAATATGCAATATGCTTCGTAAGTCCTTTAAGAAATTTCAAAAATATTTTCAATTTGAATTTGTTGAGTCAAAATTTGCCAACAAATATTATTAAAAATATTATGTATATCTATTAAAAACAATTTTTAAATTTTAAATTTTATTTGCGAATAAAAAATGGAACATTTGTTTTATTTCGCTTTTTTTCTTGTCTTATCCGGGTATACACTTTTTGAAACAAACAACGCTTTAAAAATTTACTAAATTTGTGTTTACACGTAAATTGATATTAACAAAGTTTTTATAATTAAATGAATTAATATGAAATACAAACGTTTGTGGTGCCCAATTCGCAATGTACCATCGCTAGGAACTTGTCATCGGTACCGCGATGCGTTGATACCGTTTGAATGTCACTTGCGTGCCTCTAAAACCCTATCTTATACTTCGAATTAAAATCATTGTGTCCTTTGACATATGTAGTGTCATGCCCAGTTGGATTGTCATTGCCAACGAATAGTTATGTAGATGCATAGCAGCTTTGATGGCTTAGCCATCATCATCCAGTTGTCCTGATACAAGAATAAGTTTTTTCTTCTTGTATCAGACAACTGATGATGATGGCTAAGCCATCGAAAGCTGCTATTGCATTAAATAATATGTTGGAAATGAACGTCTTATTATTTTATGAAAAATGCCAAAGATATCACACCACAACACCTACATCCAATTGGGAGTTTCAACGTCACTATACTGAGGTCACATCAGTGACGTTCAAGCGCCCGATAGCGTCACTGCTGACGAAATGTCAGCGGACCTAATGTTTTAATCGAAGTACGCTCACTTTACTCCCCCATCGCACCTCAAGCTTCCCCCTCCCCCCGATAACTTCCCTCTCAGCTCGCGAGCCAATCCCCGAGCCACTGAGAGCGCTCGTGCGCAGCGTCGGGTAGGCCTGGCTGAGAAGTTTGTGACATTTATTCTGAGACATCCTTTGTAATGAATCTAGTGGGACTCGCGCGACTAATCCGCAGTTCTAAAATAATTGTTCCGAAAGTAGAAATAGCTTTATTATGGAACCCAAATTCTAACTTTTCTGACATACCGTTCCACGTCATAGGGGTACCCATCAAAAGAAATAGAAAGTCCAAATAGATTTAGTTTTGACGATAACGCCATTAGAAACAAAACTCGAGACCCACCCGAGACTGAAAACGACTTAATGGACCCCCAACGTTTTTGTTTCCGTGTTATACATTATTGCAACGGATTTCCTCTTCTTGCAGAATATTTTCCCACCTGAGAATCTGTCACCGATACATACGAACAAGTGACACTCGCGATCACGGTGAAGTACCCCCAAAAGAACTTTAAATTAAAGTTTATTTTTCAAAATATACTTAAATGAAAACTTCTTTTTCAAAATGGTAAGAAAAATGTTCGTCCATATTGGTCAATTTTTAAAATTAAAATACGATTAAATTAGTATCTGCTCTTATGTAAAAATTTTCGCGGACAAAGGTTTTTAAAGTTACTGAAGAAGTTATTCGGCGAATGTACCTTTTCCCTTTATAAAATACGAATTATTTCTTTAGGAATCAGACAATATTAAATGTAATATACATACATCGCATTTTGAGGAGTAATTGATAAAAATTTGCGGCCAAATTCATCAAACCGGAAAGTACTGACTCTCGGCCTAGGAGTTATGCTGTACAAATCTTGCTATTCCTTCAACTGTTTCTCTAGTTGTAAGAGTGAATGTCGCCCTACTTAACTTTTTGTACCACTCACAAGCACAAAATATTTGATGATAATTCACTTTCAATGTGAACAATGTGAACTAATATTCAACGCTTAGAAAACTACGGATCCAAAGTCAACCTAATGTAGTATATTGGGTATTGCCTTCTTATGACAATGAAAAATGCGAGAGGCTACATTTCACAGAAAACATTGTTTTTCCTCAGCAATTATTATATACTTCTGTTACAATTATTTACATATAATTTTTTAAATGCTTCGTTCACGTTTACATGCAGCTATTTTTATATATGTGATATATGGTTGAGTATTTGACTTGCGGCTAGCACGAACATACTAATTACCTCACGGGCCCCTTCACACGGCACCCTCAGCAACGCTTCCGAGTGGCGCTTCTGCTAGGAAAGCATTGGTTTAAGTGGAGCTATTCACACGACTGGGATAGTCGCGCTGCTGTGGCACTCGCCATCGCTAGCAGAACACAGATCTAAATGGCGGCGTTCACACTAGATGCGCCTTTGAACCGAGTTTTGCGTGCTGTCTTCCTTTCGATCGCCTGTTCTCACAGCGGTGTGACTCACGAAACCACTCCTCTCTCGTGGTCGGTGGCGGTGGGCGGTAACTGCATGTGAAGGGCTCTGCCGCTTCGACCGGTGGCGCCACCAAGAAGCGGCAGAGCCCTTCAAGACACAGCCGCCGCCGACCGTCATCGGCCGCGACAGGGAAAGGCTTCGGGAGTCTCATCGCTGTGGGCTCAGGCGGCCGACAGAGACCGGTGGCGACGGACAAAGGCGGGCAGCAGAGAAAGACCGGTTCAGTGGCGCATTTGTGGCGCGTCTCGTGCCATTTAGATCTGTTGCGCCGGCGGTGGCACGACCGCGTTTCTGCGCTGCTGATGGCGGCCACCGAGTTGCGCGACTTCGCCACTCGTGAGAATACCTCCATTTAAACCAATGCTTTGCTCTAGATGAGGTACTCTAAGAAAGGGACTAGTACGACAGGTCGGCGATGACTTTGCAAGAGATAGTGACGATGCTGTCAACAAATCAGCTAAATGTAAAGAGACGCACTGAAAACACGAGTGCGTGGACATAACCTCCAGGCATGGTATGAGCAGCAGCTGTGCAAACGGTCCCTTCTAATGAAAGTTCCTCTTTAGCATGCGCGCCGGTGCGCGTGCGCGTGCGCAGATGGACGGGCTGACGGTGCGCGCGAGCGTGCCGGCCGTGCGCCTGCTGGCGGAGGCACCGCCCCCGCGCATCCAGACGAGCGCCCCGCCCTCGCGCCGCCCGCCGCTGGCGCTCTCCGCCGCGCGCCCGTCCCTCCACACCCACGACGAACAGCAATAAAGACACACGCATCCACCCGCACTCAAGCATTACTTATTTTGCGTGGCGAGGCTCGGGCCGTCAGGCCTCATCTTCCACGCAAATTCCGCTACGCCCCTAGGGCGACGAAACATGCGATTTGAATTTTGTTCAGAGGCGTTGTTTAGGCTTGAGTGTCTTTTACATGCAGTAAATCTACGACATGGGACACCCGGCTTTACTTCCCCTCCGAAGGAAGGCGTACGAAGGATTTTTTCTCCCTTAAAAATCCACAGCTTCGATCGGGTTTGAACTCGCAAAGTTGGGTGTAACAATCCAATACACTAGCAGGCGATTCCGCCCTATGTGGTATCCCTGTCCGATACGCTAATCGTTACACCATCGAAGCTACTGAAAGTACTCGCGTCTTCCTCATTCTTCACGCTCCTTTCACTTTCTCGCCTTACTTCGTAAGAAGGGAAATAATTTAAGACCGGAAACGAGTCTAATATTTGACACAAAGATCCTTATTACCGGGCCCTGGTAACGAAAAAGTTGATTGTCCTTATATAGAGAAAATTATTTCCTTTAAAGGGCTGTGTATTCGGAATCTATGTCCTTGATACCTAAATATCCATTGATGGGAAAACACCTGTCTGTCCATCTGTGGTCAATGTTAGTGCCTAAACCGTTTAGATTCTTTTTTAATTTCTATTTCACGAACGATTTTAGGGAGCATTTATTTTAGTTTGCTCATTCTTTGTTTACGAAGCACGCCCCTTTGACTTTCCCGCCTTCCTTCGTAAGATGGGAAAGTATTGGAGTCTGAAAAGGGTGAATTTTCGACATAAAATCTATTGCCGCGCCCTCGTGGCAAGGTGCCCAATTGTTACTGGGAAAATCGAGGGACTAATATCCTCCCAATTCCGCCAAATGCCTGAGCGGTGAAAAAAGCATACTCAGGCACAGCGGTTGGTAATTTCAAACTAGCTACACGTTCATTAGATGTTCAAAACTATATACCCTCGTGCATTAAGCCTACCTGTCACAATCCATGGATATTTAGAAAATGGTACAACTTTTAGACAAATTTGGCACGATTGCATTTCTGTTTAATTAAAAATAAAGAGGACTGTGACATCTTCTCATAGTACCATAGTGGAGGTCCATGGTACTGCTCCGTAGTACTTATTCATAGCTCCGTAGTCTGTATAGAAAAATTATGCATCCGTCATTTGTCCGTACAGATTATAACCAGCCTGGACCGTCCCTAATCTGTTCCGACGAAAAAATATGAAAATAACTGTATAAAACGGGCTCTACGATACTCTACGATTGTATGGTCTGTCCAGACCAGTAAACGATTTTTTGACAGGTTAAGGATAGTTTTCACGAAATATTTACGTTGTTTCGATATCGTCATTAAAATGAATATTGTAAGACTTCATACAAATATTTTCAAAAAGAAGATGAAACAGTGTTCGTGTGAATTACGTTGTCAAATGGATGCACACGGACAGGTGGTAAATACCGAATTTCAGAGAGCTCGTATTGTTTACTTCCATCGCTCTTTTGATTAAACTCGCAATAGACTATACTCAAATCAGAGAATTGTGCATGACAATATTTCTTAAAAGTCCTTTTCTTGCATTCTAGTTACATAATTGCTTTCATGTGAACATTGTTCCTGTTGACAAAAATTGCAGGGGGTAGCTTCAACACACGTTAGCCAGCATTTATGAAATGAATGCGAATCATTTCTACGTGCTCGTTTCTCACCGACCGCGTCCCGAAATTTACTTTGAAGTTAGAACCAATGAATGCCAAAAAAATGCTCACAGGACTGTATCTGTTTCTGCCAAAGTCCGAAACATGGCTAATTCGCGAATTATCCTCTGAACTCGAACATTAGCCAGACGGTTTGAATAAATATGTATGTGTCAATGAACGAATCTTTTCGGTCGCCATCCTGATAATTCGCGAATTATTCACATGGAACGAGCTGAAGTAAGGAGATAGTCCCAGTGTGAGCCGACTTGTGTGTTTGCGACAACTATAAAAGAACTTTAGAAATAATGTGTTGCTGAGACTGAAGGTTGTTTTATGTAAATTGTGAAGGCTGAAAACCGGAGCTTCATTGCCTCAACATGGAAATGTTTTGCGAAGAGCTAACTCAGGTAATAATGTGTAGTGAGGTTAAGTTACGATGTTTGGGACATGAAATAAATGCTGTACTAATGTGTGTTCACAACAACAGATACTTTGAGTGTGTCTATTAGCAGATAGCAATGTAAAAGCAATTGACTGCCGCCGTGTGCGAGATGTATGTAACCCGTTTCGAGCAGCGCTATACTGCAAGATAGCCATTCTTCGTGGGAGAAACGCCCGAGAATGTCACAGGGAATTGGTAGCAGCCCTTGGGAATCATGCCCTTCCATAGTGTGCCGTCGCGAGGGGGGCAGGCGAGTTTCGAGAGGACGCGAGGCATCGAGCGATGAGCAACGCACGGGACCACCTGTGAGTGTGCGCACCCATGTGGCACATACAGTAAACGAGCATCTTCCTATTCGGGCGTTTAGAATGGGTTTGTAATGCTTCTGGAATGGTGTGCACTCGTATGTGCTAAAATGCTTTGACACATGAAACCAGTAATGTCGTTTCAAAAACCTTATTTATGACAAAACCCAATTTTGGTGTGTCGTTGAATGTCCATGCACTTTGTTCATACCTTGCCTTTGCATGTGTATATTTTACATTTTCCACCTGTGACCGTATTCTAAAAAAATCAACAACAACTATGACTTATGCCTCTACCCTCGTATATATCACTTGAAATTAGAATACCACCCAAACCCGATCAAGTAAATACAGAGAAACAAAAACATTTGTACCAAATGTTACAAATAGATACAATCTACATTTCTCGTAATTTTGGCACAGTTTTATGATTATGTCTTTCCGGAATACAGTTTCGTGTTCAGATATCTGTTGAAAACGTTGCACAAGATTGTGTTTATTTTTTGCATGGAGCTATGAGTACATACTCCATGGTTTTTAGGTTACAATAGCGACAAGGAAGAAACTCGAGGCGTATGAGATGACGGTGAATCGCAAACCGAAATGTGTTTAATTTTTCTATTGAGCGCATCACACATTTAGATTATTTTAATACGAATATTCTTTTAAAATTTTACATGGCTCTTTTTCCGTTGCTTCTATCAGATTGTTTCGGAGCCTCTCTGCTTATGACTCTCCCATTGTTTACGATTCCATGGCGTCAGCAATCTGATCTGAGCAGCGGAAATGCAAGTGTTGAGTACGACGAGAAAGGATTCAAGGTACGTCGCTAGAATTTCTCTATTCTCCCAGTGACTAACAGAAAATATTGGTTATGACCAAGGAGTGGAACAGAATATGTCTCATCTATTATTTTAATGATTTAAATTCGCAGTATGCGATGGACGAGCGTTGGGGTCGAGCAGGTTGGAGAGGGAAATTAAAGTTAAATGTGTAGTTAGTTTTATCGGAAGTAAATTTCGCTCGCATACATCACATATCCGAATTGCTGTTTTTTAATTGTTCTATTCACTCTTCATTGATTCACGCGTGAATTTTTTGCTTATGTCTAAAATAGCAGTAATAACTTTTATGCTTATCATAGGTGATTTTGGATGTTCGACAGTTCAAACCGGAGGAAATAAAGGTTAAAGTAGTGGACGGCTTTATTATTGTGGAGGGAAATCACGAAGAACATCAAGATAATAGCGAGATGCTCTCCAGACAATTCGTTCGCAGATACAGAATCCCTCACGATGTGGATCAACGCACAATCACTTCGAAGTTGTCCTGCAACGGCCTGCTTGAAATCGAAGCGCTGAGAAAGGTTTTGTATCTTTTCCCATTGGCATATGAGTAAAGCAGGCAAATAAAATAGTTCAAACAGTCAAATTGGATGATTCTCTAAATTATAAGTTGACACAGGTATCCTTTTATTTTCCCGTATACGGAGTAATATATGTAGTGTAGGGAAAGTTATGTAATGCTGCGGAAAATCGATGTCGAGGTTTCAACGGAAATACACTTTTGGGGTCCCCTGACACAGAAAAAGTGGTTCTTTTCAAAACGTCCGTCTGTCTGTCCGTTTGCCTGTCCGTCTGTGAACACTTCTAGCGTCTAAACTGGACGTAGGATATTTTTCCAAATTGAAGAAGCCTCTGTCCATCTAGCTCGAGTCGAACCTTTGAGATTTTGAAAACCATTCTTCAAAATTTGGGGATACTTTACATGAAGGCCCTCCGGACATTTTCAAAATTTTCTCAAAAACGGCTCCAATTTTTTCTTTAAATTTCTTGTAGGAATGGAGTAACATATACTTACTCGTATAAACGGGCCATAGATCCACTCTTAATTTAAAAAGTATGAATTTTTTTCGGAGTCTTCCTTAAATATTGCGTGCAATATGCGCAATTTAAAAAATATAAAAACAAGATTTTTTCAAAAACGACTCCAATTTTTTTTTTAAATTTTGGTATGGATAATGTTAAATGCACTCTATAAGATGACATAAACGTTATATTGCTCTATTCTTTTGTTGTTGGTTTCCAAAAATTACAAATTAATTTTTTGACTCGTCTCTCATGTCGTTAATATTTATATTAGCGACAACTGAGCACATGTGATTTAAATAATGTGATATAAAGTTTTTCGAAAACTCAATTTTCGTAAATGTGCACGTGACGTTATTTCAAAATCTGTCTTTAAGGATCAGATTTCATAAAAGGAAAACTCTATCTTTAATATTTTAGTTGTAGGAAGACTGAAAAAACTTAAAACTTTTGCAATTTTACAAAATCAGGATTTTTAACGAACAGAAGACCTAGACCATTCTGTTCCCCAACCAGGTATCTCCCACCAGCGGAGTACTTCCCAAACGGGGCAAGCTGTAAGCTCTCGACCGATCTCCCGGCGTGTGTGGTAGGTAGTGGAGCTCACGTTAGTGTAAGTGTGTATGTAACGGGTGAGGATGAGACAGGAAAGATCGCGCGCGCTCTATGACCCATTTGTTAGAGTACTGCTCCGGCATTCGCCTGGTATTGATTGGAGACACCACGGAAAATTCCGATCAGAGCAACCGACCGCTATTGAAGTCTCGTCTAGACAGCGACTCAATTCGACCTAGCAATATAGCTAGTGTTTGCCGCCGCGCATCGTCGAGACTAGAACCTAGGACCCCCCGGTCAGAGGGACTGCATTGACATCAGTTGATGCCGTTAGCCATCTCTCCCGGTAAAAAGCCCAGGTATTTGGTGAGTTAGGAGAGGGACGCGCTTATTCGGGAGCTTCGATTTTGCTGCCCGCTCCCTTTACCGGTCAAGCTAGCCAGCTCCCTTTCCTGCAGGCAGTTTCGGTGGAGATGTAAGATCATAAGAAGTGGTAAATTTCCCCTCTGCCACTTTTCATACATATGTAGTCCAGCTGTTCTTTGTTGTTGTTTTTTTAAGTTGTCGAGCTATTAATAAATGTGTTTTTCCCAAAAGAATTAATGAAGATGTGGCAATTAAAAAATACCGAATTGCGTTTCGCAATCCGAATCCAGTGAGAAACTTTTACTAATGCGGTAAGAGAGTAATAGCATCAGCTTCTTGCACTTCGCACGAATTACGAGAGTAAAACATTAAACCACGTTAGAATTAATATTAAATTAATATAATATTTTTTTTTAAAATCAACTGTTTTGATTGTTTTTAAATGTCAAATGTTAAAGCAGTTTTAAGTAATCAGTGGTCTACTATTCAGTAATGAAGAAAATGTATTTGAATTTTGTTCTATTTATTGAAGAAAATAATTCGACGCATAGATCCCCGATTATTTTGCAAGGGGGATAGTTTCAAACATCCATCTCCACTTTTTCCTGAAATTGTGTTATTACTACTAAATAGAATGTTTTTGATAATAATGATCCAGCTCAACTTGAAACTCTGCAATCTCTAAAACTTGATTGTTTCAAAATTGGCAATTTTCTATAAGAGTTATCAACAAGTAAATGGATGCATCCCAGCATTCAGTCTCACTGTTATTGTTTTTAGAATCCTGAAAACCTCTGTTTATGAATAGTTGGAAGTCATATTGCGGTAATTCACATTACAGTAAAACCAGTTTTGGTGTTGTTGATTTTTTACATTTGTATAACGTTTCGTAAAGTTTTGGGAAACTGGTCTTTTTTTTTTCTCCTACAGCAAAATTATGAAAACTGGAGATTGCAAGGTTTGAAGCTCCCTCAGTTGAGCTCTGTTCATTCGCTTAACGTTTCGCTCTCTCTGTTTAGATCTCTTCGTCTCCGTTCATGGGACATCCCACCCAGAGCGGCCAGCAGAGCGTCTTGAAGCAAGATCAAGAGCAGCCAGTGAAACTGAATCAGTAGCTTTTAATCAAAAAGTGGCTTAATAAAACATATACTATTTATCAAACAAAATTATGCAATTCGTTATTGCAGTGAAATTGAAGCAGTAGTTAAGATGTGCCTTTTGCGCTTTGAGATATTTCATTTTGTGGAAACTGCTTAAAAACAGCACCATAACTCAACCATTTAAGAGCTTTTTAAATAGCGTTTTCGAAGGATTAATCGACAACTTCACAAAACCAGATCAGATTTTTCTTTCGAAACCTATTTTGATGGGTGGCCTACCGGATGCTACCTACAAAAGTTTTATTGAGGCCCAAAGAGTTATTATAAGGAAATTTATCCTGAATTTGGCTCACCAAATGCATTTTTCTTCGTGTTCATTATATTTATTAATAAGAAGTTGTTACTGAATTCTGATCAATGTTTATTGAAACCAAAGAAATCGAATTTCATCGTTGGAGATGTTTCAATAAATGTTTAGTATATTATGTAAATATTTTATATTTATGGTTTTTGCATAAGTAGGTTTTTTGAAAACGAGTGACTTAAAGAGTGAGTTTTCAAATTACTACAAAAGCAATAAATCAACATTATAAACATGTTGCATATCAGCATACATTTCAATATCACATTATTAATTCACATTGCAATATCAAATTTCAAAAGTTTTGTAGTTGGCAATACGGTTGCTATTATGACGTTACGCAAGGAGGATGGGGGAAGAGGGCGAGCGAGGGACGAACGGTGAGGAGTAAGGTCGGACAGTGACTTTGCAAGGAGGACAGTGACTGTGCCATAAAATGCAATGTGTGCCATTTTATAAACGATTTTTTGTAATGAAAAAAGTCGTTCATAATGCTGGTATACCAAAAAAAATATTTTCTGTTCCTTACACAAATTATGCACCTGAACGATTTATACAAATATTTTATTATGAAGTTTTTAATGTTAGTTTTTAAAACTATTCAAGAGAGCACTGGCAGTGTGTTCTCTCGCATTCATACTTACAGGAAAATTAATTGGAATACGATGGCAAGTGATTTTTTATATGTTCCAAAATTTATTATTGTAAAATATTTCCCAAATATGTTTTAAATACTAATAGTTAATCGATCATTCCTAAAATAAGTTTATTTCTAATGGAATAGTGTGCTGCATTATAAATGTTTTTTTTACAAATGGGATATTCACCGTAAGTGGATAAAAATTGTAGATTGTTTGAAATCAAACTAAATGCATACTTACACGCTCCATGAATGTATGGAGATGCCACGACGAAAGCTAGAAGATACAAGCATCCTTGAATGCAAAGTAAAGAAATTGTTTACCAATGAGTGTTATATTCGACTTTAAATGCAATTTTATCAAGTATTATTACAATTTGGGAACTGAAACATCAAAGAAACTACGTGAACTAGGACAAAGTGTCTTTCAGTCAATAATAACATTACCACGACTTCCTTAGTCCAATTAAGAAACGATTCCTTTGCGAATTCTAATTACTTAAAAAATTTTATCGAAGGGAACTGATTTATTCGACTTTGTAGATCGCGCCAATAATAATCCATAAATAAACTAATATGGTAGTAACGAATGTAGTTAGTTGGTTGAGTAATAAAAATTATAATAGCAAATAGTAATAATTATTATAATAGTAAGTAGTAAGAAGTAATAATAATACTCTCTGAGTAGCAGTGTCACTGAGACCACAACTATGAAGAGCAACAGTTATAGAACTCTGGTAGAGAGAACATTGAAGAATGATAATTTGGTTATTATGTTGGTGTCAATGGACATCAACACTGATGAACGAAAGCGTTGATTTTCATTTGTTTCGGCGCGCACTGTGACTGTTCTCTCTGGATTGATAAGTGAAGTGTTGCCGTGAATGTTGCTCTCTACATCTTAAATGGTAAAATCTTAAATATGTGATCTTGCGCTGTTTAACAAACGATGCAATGCCGTCAATATGAATTAATATTTCGTGGAAAATAGCTTCTTTAGGCGTTACATCTGTGTCACAGTGAAAGTATACATGTTTGTAGGTTATGTGAAGCGAGGAAACCGATTTAATTAATAGGTTTTGTATGTTATACTCTTACCATGAGGTTTAGAGCTGTTATGAACGACCCCTCGTACATGAGGAAATTTACTGGCAAGTAAAATCTTTGGTTCTTTCTTTTGTTTAAATATGCAATTACTATTTTCTCACATGGCTGTTTCCGTTACAGAGATCCTACAAGTTTTGTCAAACTTGGCAAAGACAAGTGTACTGAGAGTATGTCCAGACAAGATATTTTTTGTCATAATGGAAAGCCAACAACCTCAGGCCTGGTGGGAGTTGGATCCTGAACAGTTCTTTTCTGAATTTACCATGCGTGGTGTTTCAGATGTCTACAATGAATTTTACTTGGAGTTTGCAACAGGTATACATCTCCTGTTTTCATTTTATTATTTATTTTATTGTTCATATTATTATGCTTACAGTAGCGAGAGAGTTGACAAGTATATATATATTTTTTTTCTCAGTAATGCTTGCTGATACTTTGATTACCCTCAAGAAGAACCGTGCTCCTCAAACTGTGAAAATAAAACTGACTGATAAGGGTGGGCCATGCCTAAGATTTGAAATGGAAATGGTGGGTGTGTGAATTGCGTGCACATTAATTAATTGGCATTAATTTTAAACATGTATTGAACATCTTTATTATATTATTTCAATGCAATTGTAGATTTTAAAAGAAAATTTTTCCAATAATTGCACAGTTGTTTTGCCATTCATTTTGAGAGCATTATTGGGTTATCAATTTCCAGACCCTTACCATTTCACTCTGAGACATTGTTTTTAAATATATAATTGTGTGTCAAACAAATTAATTTCAGTAGAGTGAATGGTTTACTTTGTGTATAAACATGCTCTCATTTGCATCTGTGTAATGCAGCCTGTTACATCTCTGGTTCGGACTTGCTCGCATGACTTCCCTGTTGGCATCATTCCTCGCAGTCAGTGGAGTGGCATCCATGAGGCTGAAGAACATTCTTATGACGTAAGGCAATTTCTTTTTCTCATTTTCTCTGAATGCTTGTAATAAATTAGTCAGCTGCTGTCTGGGGGGAATCTGAATGGTTGGATGCGGTGATTGGAAGTTTTCTGTGGTTTCTCCGGTCAAAGCCAGCCAAATGATGAAGCTGTACCCTAAGAAATGGGCCCTGGAGCAAACACAATTATTCCTGCCTCATCCTTGTCTTATCCTCTCACCTACCACCAGCGGCGTAACGTTTGGGCTCCCAAGTCCTGCTATGTGAGTGGGCCCAGGTAAAAGAGGATCTATTTTTATGGGATATTTTTATTAGTTAAGGTACTAACAGTACTTATGTTTGCTATGCACTTTTATAAAGGGGCTTGGGTGAGAGTTTTTCAGGCGGGCCTGCACTCATTCGGTATGCTACTGCCTACCGCCCTTGCACTTGCACCTCTAGCAAGCATCAGCAACCCAGAGGGGAGCTTAGAGCTTGTTCAGCCTTCGATGGCTTCCCAGCGGTGGGAGATACCTGATGAGGAATAATGCCCTGCATACCGACATGTTGGTCGGTTCCGGATCTTACCACTCACCGTGGGGAGAAATACTTACACCTCCTATGCTAAAACATTCACTACACTAATGGGGCTAATGACCACAGCAGTTGAGGTGAACAGTTTGAACTTTTTTATTTCAAATTGTGACTTTTATTTGTTCTCCCAAAACTAAAAACCTCATCTGAGGTACGGTCAAACTTCTGGTTTCCTTTACTGACTCCCATTACCAATATTTCTGCGCGGTATTTTAACATTGATTGAGTGTATTGTTAAGTATTCTTGTAACATTTTATTTCCTCATGTGTCCCAATATTATATTTGTTCTTCCTTATCCTTCTGAAATAATTCAATTGAATTTCCCAGGTATTTAAGGGAGGTAACTTGTTCAGTATTATTGAATTAAAATTATTTGACCTCAAAGGTGTTCTTTGATGTAGAATGGTTGTGTTTTTGTTTTATCTTGATAAATTTTGTATGATATATTTGCATAATTCAAAGATTACTTTCCATACTGTGTCTTCACTCTATTTTTATGGCTTGATTGTCTGCAAGTAATATTGTGTATAAATTGTATTTTTTTGTTATATTTATTACCTGTGTAGGTGCGTTAGGGCATCAACTGATATTACTTCACTTCATCTTAACTGGAAGGTCATGGGTTCAAGTTCCTGCAAAACTATTTTGTGCTTCTTAATCTCATTCATTAGTTTTAGGAACTGAGGTTTTTAGTACCTGTTGTCCACATTTTATTACTTCTGGTTTTATCTCCTCTATTCCTGCTCCCTTCCTGTTCTTCAGGTTGGTTTTTACATTTTCTGGTTCTTCCATAACAATTTCATCCTCTGCTTCCTTTTCTATTAAAATAAAAGACTTAAAATCCAATTAAACATATGCTGGTCTTCAGCTGTTTCTGTAGTACTGAAGAATTTTTCAATTCTAGTTTTTAAGTTTTGTAAAAGAATTCCTCCATCATTGACATTGGTGACACTGATAAATTGTTATAACTCTGACACATGTATAAGACTATGCTATATTGTATACCTTATATTTTTATCTTATTGTTATATGTAACTAATATTAATAATGTGAAGAAATGTATTATGTGTAAAAATGAATTGACAACCAATACAAAGAGTGCAAGCTTTGTTACTGTATTGTCAACAGACATAAGTAAATAAATGATGACTGGAGGAACGCCACCGTTTGTGCCCAAAGTGGGCCTTGATCCCGGTGTCATTAGCCGAATTGCTTAACTACACTCTATGAACTCACGGAAGTTAAGCAAGTCTAAGTCACCATGCATTTTCTAGTATTGCAATTTTTATTTATTTGACCCTGGTGAATAAGCTGATAAGTTAACTTCTTTCTAAAAACAAGGTAAGTATTCTATTGGTATCTCCTACTTGTTTCCTACATATGTGTATAATCAAGTGTACAGCTGACACTGGTAGCCAAACTGCTTAACCGTGCTCTGTGAAGGTTCAGATGTTAAGTAGTTTAAGTCACCATGCGTTCTCAGTTGTTTGACCGTATGGGAACCCAGGATACTAATGGTACTGAGCTCCTGGCTAAAAGGGGCAAAGATTTTAAGAGAAAATGAGAGTGTTCAAGGAGTATTATTCCATACATTATGACCTATGACTCTGTGTCCAGTGCTGTATAAAGTCTCAGAACATTGTTACAAGAGATAGGTTAAATTCCTTCTGGTTGTTGAGTAATGGCCTTGTGTATTTACAACGTAATGTCCATACATTCGTAAACCTTAGTATGGTAAGTCCAGTTATATGGTTGCTGTAATGAATGAGATTGTTGATTAACAAAAAAACAGAGTAGTCAGTTTATTCCCTTTAGAAGATTAGCTCTAATTAGTGGCATGCAGCACCGACAATACTGCCATCGAATATCTGGAAAATGGAGCAATAAAAAATGTGGATATTCTGTATCGGCACATGTGAATTCTTCTTCGTTGTTTCATGCTATCAGCTGTATCGTAAGCATGAATGCACTGAGTATGAGAATATAGTTATAACGTCAGGTTTGAGAAATTGCAGATTAACGTAATAAAATATTTGCATTATTTAGTCAAAATTAAAAGTGAGTTTTTCTGAGTTCCTGGATATATATCATCCGTAGGTACCTCTCACGTGGCCAGAGGCTGCATGTTTGTTTGTTTGTTTGTTGTTGTGTTTTTTTTAATTTCTGCCCAAATTGGAAATAAGTAATAGCACAAGATGACAAGATGTGTTGCTCTCCTGTAAAATTAAGTTCTTGTGATATATGTGCTCTAAATATAGCGAGTCAAAGATGTATTTTAATTTGTCCTTCTTTGGTTTTAGGTGAGCATTGAAATGCCATACATAAGAGAAATGCACCAGTGGCTTGAGTGTTTTAAATCCTTGGGGCAGCATTGTTACTTAGTGGCCAATGGGAACGGTGACTTCCAAGCAAAGCTAGTGCATGACATGGGTACCTGTGTGAAGCAGTTCACTGGATTACAAGTTGTTCATGAAGGTGTGTGCAACTTATCCTTTCATTTTGACTGTATTGTTTGAACAGGTTATTTATGTGTTTAATACATTTTTAAGTAAAAAGAATTCTAGTACATGCACCCCAGGCATTCCAAGCACAGGCATCACTAGCAGAGACTCTCTCTCTTCAATATTTTCAAGTACATGCAGTAGTTTTATTCCAATTTACCATTTTAGTAAAGATATTTTCAGAAAAACATGATGATGATGATGATATAATAATAACAATAACAATAATAATAATGTTTATTGTGTCACATATACAATTACAATTGTGTATGACGAGTCAAATATGATATATTTAGAGGGGGTATATTACATCGCATACATCTGCTTGGGAGTAGCAAGTGAAGTTACATTCATTTTTATTTTTATTGTCCAGAAACAAAACAAGGGGTCATCTCAGCATTTGCTCAAAGGACCAGGAAAAATGGACCCAAAACCTGATCAAGATGGGGTCATTGGCCTAGAGATTATTCTACAATACTTGTTACAGATATATTAAGATATTACATAGTAGATAATTATTTTTAGTAGTAAATAGTTGAACATTTGACTTACTACTATTTGTTTTCTGTCTGATAGGTATGATTTTATCCAATTGTTAGCAATTCCTTGTATTCCATAAGATTCTAATTTTGACAATAGAATTGTGTAATCTATTGTGTCAGAGGCTTCTGACAAGCCGAGAATGAATCCAACAGGAATTTCTGTTTGCTCTAATGCCATGTAGGATAAGAGTTTAGGTGAATAGAGTTTTTTCAATTTTTTTGAACATTTACAAAGGTGAATAGAGCAGTTTCAGTTGAACGATTTTTCCTGAATCTATTCTGTTTGTCAGTGATAATGTTACAGTGTATCAAGAAGTTTTTTAATCTTTCATAGAACAGTTTTTCTAATATTTTTGATAAACCTGACAAGAGTGACATTGGCCTATAATTCATTACATCTTCTTTGTTACCTTTTTTGTGTATAGGTTTAAATACAGCAGTTTTAAATATGTTTGGGAAGGAGCCATGAGTTAGTGATTGGTTGTATAAATATGTTTGT